AACAGCAACAACAACAAGGCTTTGAAGCCTATTACTTAGGAAGTTTGGACTAACGTAGTCCACAATATAGTAGCATTGGAAAGCACCTAGAGCTTACTGTGTTCAACCTTCCACCCACGTAGGAATCTCTTTTAAGGCCTCCTTAATTGGTGCTGGTCAGGCCTCTGCTTGAATGCTTAGGAAGATGGGAAATAATAACTCACAAAACAATCCACTTTGGTTTTGGACAGGAGCTGAAATCTCCTTCCCTGTAACTTCCAGCTATTGGCTTTAATTCTGCCCTCTACAGCCTAAGTTCAATGCTTTTCCCATGTGATAGCCCTTCCCATATTTTTAGACAGCCGTCATGTCTCCCTTAAGCATTCTCTCTTTCAAGTCAAACATCTCCAGTTCCTTCAACTATATAACAAGCCATATGACATAGTTTTGAGTCCATTCATTATCCTAGTTAACTTCCTCTGTTCCCTTTAAAGTATGATGCTCACAATTGAACACAGAACTCTAGTTATGGTCTGACCATTGCAGAGTAAATTGGACCTGTTATTACTAGCTTTGATCTGGACGCTATACTTTCTCTCTCTCTCTTCTCTCTCTCTCTTTTTCATCTATCATCTATCTCTATCTATCTATCTATCTATCTATCTATCTTATTTTATTGAGGCAGGTAGGTAGTACAGTGAATAGACCACTGGAACTGAAGTCAGGAAGACCTGAATTCAGATCTGACCTCAGATACTCACTAGCTCTGTGACCCTGGGCAAATCATTTTAACTTCAGTCTGCCTCAGTTTCCTCATCTATAAAATGGGAATAATAATAATACCTACCTCCCCAGGGTTGTTGTGAGGATAAAATAAGATATTTCTAAAGTACTTTGTAAACCTAGAAACATATAAATGCTTTGTTTAGTCTTTTCAGTCATATCCAACTCTCCATGACCCCATTCGGAGTTTTCTTGGCAGAGATACTGGAGTTGTTTGCCATTTCCTTCTCCAGCTCATTGTACAGATGAGGAAACTGAGACAAACAGGGTTAAGTGACTTGCCCAGGATCACACAGCTAGTAAGTGTCTGAGGCTGGATTTGAACTCATGAAGATGAGTCTTCCTGACTCTAGGCCCTGTACTCTATCAACTTTGCCATCTAGCTGCCCCATATAAATGCTAGTTATTATTAATAATAATGTAGCTTGAAGTTACATTTTAGCAGCCATATTACACTGTTGACTAATATTGAGGTTCTAGTCAACAAAAATTTTTAAGTATTTTTCAGATGAACTACTATCTAAGCAGGTCTCTCCCATCTTGAACGTTTTAGGACTTGACTGGCATCAAGACTGGATTTGATCTATCTTTCTAGTCCGTCAAGTTTTTTTTGTTTTTGTTTTTTTTTGGCTAGGCAGTGGGGTTAAGTGACTTGCCCAGAGTCACACAGCTAGTAAGTGTGATGTGTCTGAGGCCGGATTTGAACTCAGGTCCTCCTGAATCCAGGGCCAGTGCTCTATCCACTGTGCCACCTAGCTGCCCCTGTCAAGATCTTTTGATGTCCTGATTCTGTCATCCAACAGATGACATCTCTTCCTCTGTTGTGTCATCTACAAATTGAATGTGTCCTCATTCAAGTCATTGATAGAGGTCAGATACTTAAAATGTGCCATTGCACTATGAACTTATTAGTCAAAGCTCTTGAGATACGACTCTTCACCCCGCTGTGAATCAGTCAGACTGGCTGTATTTCTTTGTCTTGTCCACAAATATATCTGTATCAATGAGAAGCCTTGTCAGATGCCTTCCTGGCATGTAGATGGATTAAGCATATAAATCTCCACTTCCCATCTCCTCTGCTCCTATGTGAATACTGCATTTGTCTCAGGCATAGCTACTCAAAGTTCCCTTTATACATTCAACTCTTTCCTGTTCTCCCCACTCAGACTAACAAATGCTACGGGTGTACAGAGAAAGAATCAATGAATCTCAGTATTGGGAGGTTCCTCAGAGGTCATCTGGTTCAAATTTTCTCCATTATTTTTTTTTTTACTAGTTTCTAGATTCCTAAATTCTCTATGTAACCTTTCTGGATTTATAGGAGGAAAATGGTCAATTGTGCACAGCTGTGGTGGCTAATAATCTCTCTCTCTCTCTCTCCTCCAAGATAGGTATAGCAGGATGAATGTGTTAAGATGTTAAAATGAATTGCTGGCAACGATGGTAACTTCACCAATATGCTCTTTTCCCAGTCAGTGGCAGTGGCGGTGATGGTGGTGAGAGTATCTATGATGGTATAGGATTTTATATTTATAGCAGCATTTTTTTGTGGTAGAAAAACTGGAAACAGAATAGATGCCCATTGATTGGTCAATGGCTAAACAAATTGTGGTACATGTGATGAAATATGATGAATACAGAGAAACATGGAAAGATTTACATGATCTGATGAGAGTGACGTAGACAGAGCCAAGAAAATCACACACACACACACACACACAAACAACTTTTGTTGTTCTTCAGTCATTTTCAGTGATGTCTGACTCTCCGTGACCCCATTTGGGGTTTTCTTGGCAAAAATGCTTGAGTGGTTTGTCATTTCCTTTTCCAGCTCATTTTACAGATGAGGAAACTGAGGCAAACATGGTGAAGTAACTTGCCCAGGGTCACAGCTAGTGATTGAGCCTAGATTTGAATTCAGGAAGATAAGTCTTTCGGATTCCAGGTCTGGCACTATATCCACTGTGCCACTCAGCTACCCCCTGTACAACGGACAATATAAATGGAAGAAATAAAATTAAAAGTGAATATTGCAAAATTACAAAGAACAAGCATGGCCCCAAAGAGGAAATGTGAGAAAGCAGTCCCACCTCACTTCCTTGCAGCTCTGGGAGGTTCATTAATAGATGCCCGTTGCAAATATTTTAACTGCTGATTTTTCCTTTTTTTCCCCTTTAAAAAATATTGTCATATGGGATAGCTCTCTGGGAAGGGATGGGTTTGGTGATGTAGGAAACAAAAAGTATCAGTGCAAATATATTAAAAAGGAAAAAAGAAATGTATTACTGTAAGATTTACAAAGCATTTTTTTACAAATACTAGATCATTTCATGCTCACAATAATCCTGAGAGATAGATTCTATTATTATCCCCATTTTACAGATGAGGAAACTGAAGCAGATGTTAAGTGACTTGCCAAGGGTCACACAGTTGGATTTGAATTTGAAGTTGGATTTGAACTCAGGTCTTCCCTACTCTAAGTGTAGCACTTTATCCACTTTGACACCTAGATGATGGACCTTGGCACAACTACTATAGCCTGCCCCCCCCCCATTTTCCAGATGAAGATAGTGAGGCCCAGGGGCTGAAGGCCTTGCTCAGCCAAGGTTATACAAGCAATATGTAGTGCAACAAGGATTCAAGCCTAGGTCTATTGATTCCAAATGTAGTACTCTTTCCACCACACCATTTTTTGTTTGGGGACGGAGTTTTATGGCTAGAAGAGAACTGATTTTGTTTATAGGCAGAAGGCAATGGGGCTACTAGAAAGAGAGAAATTTATGATCTGGGAGAGATAAAAATTGATGGAGCAAAGGGCAAGGGTGAATATATGCATTCTTTGAGGGTAAGGGCTATGTTGTTTTTCATCTTTTATCTCCGGTACTTAGCACAGTGCCTAGAATATGGTAGGCACTTTCTAAGGGTTTCTTGAACTGAACTGTTCAATTATCCCTGTTAGCAGAATGAGCCAGAAGAACAATGACCAGAACCCAGGCCAGTCAGACACATATTAGTGGCACAAAATTTCCATAAAAGATCCTTGGGGATCAAGCCTAAAACCCGGTCAGGGAGGATCCCTGAAGGAGGATGGGATGTATTGGGGGCCTGAAAAAAGAGCAGGTGAGATTTCCCTCATCCATGTCCCTTGGGCAGCTTTCCCTTCTCTCTCCTTCCTTTCCCATCCCGTCATTCCTACCCTTCTTCTCCACTTCACTCCTCTTTTTCCTTCTCCTATCTTCCCAACTTCCTCTCCCTGTCCTTCTCCCTTTTTCCTTCTAACATGCCCCTTCTCTCCTCCATTCCTTTCTTCCTCTTTCCCTCTGTCTTCCCTTTCCCTTCTTCACTTCTTCTCCCTCTTCCCTCTCTCTTTCCTAACTTCATTCCTTCCTCCCTCTTCTTCCCTCTCCATTTTACCTTTCCTCTTTTCCTTTTTCTTCTCTTTCCTTCTTTCCTCTCACTCCTCTCCTCTCCTTTTCTTTCCTCTCCCTTTTCTTCTCTTCCTTCTCCCTTCCCCTCTCCTGCCTCTCCTTCCAAATACCCTTTTCTTTCCCTTTCCTCCTCTCTCCTTCTCTCCCTTTATTTCCTTTCCTCCACTTCTTTCCTTCTCCTCCCTTTCCCCTCGTCTTCCTCCCTTCTTCATCTTCCTTTTCCTTTCCCACTCTTCTTTTTTCTCCTTCCTCCCCTTCCTCCCTGTCTTCTCATTCCTAACACCCTCACTGCTCTTCTTCCTTTCCCCTCCCTCTCCTTTCCTTCTTCTCCCTTTCTCTCTCTCTCCCTTCTGGATCTTCTCCTCTCCTCTCTTTCCTAGCTCCGTTCTTCTCCTGCCCCCCCTCCTCTCTCCTTCCTTTTTGGCTCTGTCTCCCTCTTCCTTCTTTCCCTTCACTCCGTCCCAGCTCCCACCTTCCTTCCCTTCTCTTCCTCCATCCCTCCCCTCCTCTTTTCTCAGCTGCTTTCCTCTCCATTCCCTCCTCCTCCCTCGTTCTTCCCTCTTCTTCTCTCTCCTTCCTTCTTGGCTCCATCTCAGCCTTCATTCTCCTCTCTCTCATCCTCCCTCTTTAGACCTCTCCCTTCTGCTCCTCCTCTGCTCCCTCCTCCACGGGAGGGGGCGGGGACTTCGGAGGCACGCCCTAAGGGGGCGTGGCTGGCACGGGGAAGGAGGAGGGAGGGAAGGACGATAACAATGGGCGTAGGCAGGGGAATCGTCCGGAAAAGCGGAAGTCCCGCCTCCCTGGAGCAGCACTTCCGGCTGTGGCTCGCAGGCTAACGGTGACTGAGCGATCGCAGCCGGGGAGGCGGAGGAGCTACGATGGTGCTGCTGGAGAGCGAGCAGGTGGGGGCCAGGGCTGGGGTCGGGCCGGGCCGGGCCGGGTGGAGACCGGGCGGGGGCAGTGAGAGGGAGTGGTGGTGGGAGGTGGGTGCAAAGAGCAGAGCCTCGCCCGGGCTTTCGGCCTGGCCCGGCCTGCTCCCCGGCGTTGGCGTCAGGGGGCCGTCTAACGGAGCCCGGGTGGGGCGGGTTGTTTTTCCAGTTCCTGACGGAGCTGACCAGGCTCTTCCAGAAGTGCCGGTCGTCGGGGAGCGTGTTCATCACCCTGAAGAAATGTAAGGAGCGTCCGCTGCCCCGCGGGGGGGGCAGGGAGCGGGGGAGCACGCACGCGGGAAACTGAGGCACGGACGTCCAGATTAGCCCAGGCTAGCCCCGCTAGAGGCCCGGCCGTGCTCCCTTGGGCCAGCCTCTTCACCTCCCTGGGCCTCCTAAGCCCGAGGTTCTCAGAATCGCGTTTTTAAACGCATAAAACAAAATACATGGGATTACGAAGACATCTGGTTATGTTTAAAGGGGAAGCGATGACCCGAGATGGACGCGCGGGCCTTGGGCAGGCCTCCCTGGGCCTCTGCACCCCAAGGCCTTCCAGCTCCAGATCCCCCGAGCGGAGGCGGCGGGGCAAGGACTGGCCAGGGTCCATCTATCCTCAGCGGCGGGAGCCGTGCTGGGGGCAGAATGGAGCACTCAACTCTGTTTGGACACGATTTCCGTTTTTGGGCCGGACCAGCATTGGTTAGCTATTGCCGAGGTGCCTAGTTTTTCAGCCACTGAAGTCCCTTCTGCACCCTGTTCTCTCAGGGCTCTTGCTTACCTTTTTCTACCTTTTCCTTTATGTTTCTATTCACAGGATGCCTGTCACCTCGGGCAGAAATTTTTATAGCCTTTATTTGGTTCTGTCATAGAAATTGAATCTCATGTTGCCATCTCCACTTCCTGGATATTGACTAAAGAATTAGGCTTCTGGCATAGTATAGGTTCATTCCTGAATTGGAATGGTATTAACTATATAACTTACAAAGATTCCATTTAGTCTTGGGATTTTTCTTTTGAAAAGAATCTGTTTTTTCTTTAATGCAGATGATGGTCGTACTAAACCCATTCCACGGAAAGGGTCTGTGGAAGGCTTTGAGCCTTCGGACAATAAGTGTTTGTTAAGAGCGACTGATGGAAAAAAGAAGATCAGCACTGTGGTGAGCAGGGACTCTGGGGAGCTAGGTGCAAGGGTGGCATATTTATATCTTAAAATTGGAAATATTCAGGATTCTGAAGGTAGGAACTGTTAGATCCATATTTCATACCTGTGATTACCTTCAAGAATTGTTCAACATTCAGTTATTCAGGGATGAGTTAGGTATGACAAATTACAATTTGGCTTGTTTCTATGCCACCTCATACTGCCTAGAGTACCAGAAAAGAAGTAGAGAGGAAGGTGAAATGATTTCCCCTTTGCTTTTCCAAAAGTTTTGTGGGGAAGTAGAGTATCAGTAATTTTTCTTGGCTCCAGGAGCAGTTAATGGAAAGATGGTACAAATACTCTTTATGCCACTACTATGACTTACCATCATCAGCTTCTCAGTGCCTAATTGATATTTCATTTGGCTGTGGCCTGTGCCCTTGTATTGCTTGTGATAAAATATAGAATTGCTCTTAATGGTTTTTTTTTCTAATAAGGGTAGAGAGTGAGGCATTATAAGAGTCAGTGAATACAGAAATACTATTTTATTTGCTGCACCAGAATCCGATTCACTTAGTTATTAGCTTACTATGTATAAAGCTCTTTTATTAACTTTCTTCTTTACTACCCTCAACACTGGCACATAAAAGACTTGGGTTAATTTGGTTCCTCTTTACCCAGTATAAAATCCTGCCTTTTTATTGGCTCTTTTGAGAATTTTCCAAAAATCAATCGAAAAGAGATGCCAGATGCTGGCTTTACCCGTTGTTTAGTGTAGTAAAGTTGGGCTGTGGGAATTCTTCAGATTTCCTTATTCCACAGTTCTTTACTCTGAGGCAAAAAGCTGCATTGCACTTTGTGGCACAGTGTTTTCCTTTTAAAGAAGAAACTGAAGGGACATGTGGGACTTTGCTTCTGAAGGCAAGTTGCATGAGAAAAGGAGTTTGTTTTGTGTAGTACCTCCATACATTTATAGACTGAGATACTTTGTTTCATATTCTACCATGAAACTGTCCATCATTAAAGACTTTAGGCATCTTTAAGACCTTTTCCCCCTCAGTCTTTAGTGAGTCAGAAAAGATCCTAATCATAAGACATTGGGAACACACCTACAAGGGGAATTGAAGGGTGAAGAGCTATTTGGTTTTTGAATATACAGGTGAGGAAAGCCTTCCCTTGCAGCATCTCCTTGCTTCCTTGACCTTAGCTAGGTACACTATTAAAACACAGCTCTATGAAGTTGGGACAGATGTTTTGAAGTTTGGGGTATGCTGCCCCCATGAGGACTTTTGATGGTTCTTGCATGAAGAGAAGAGGTAATTGATTTATTTATATTTTTTAGGTGAGCTCTAAAGAAGTGAATAAATTCCAGATGGTAAGTTTCTGATGTTCACTGGGTCTTCCCAGTTTTTTTAGTAAGTAAAATTCCAAGTTAAGTCTAGGCATCTAACTGAACTAAAATAACAAACTGGAGTTAATACTATCCTAGGAGGGGCAATTTTAATTTCCATTTTACAAATGAGGCTGCCTAATGTGAATGGTGGTATTGGACACAGAACATAGTTTCATCTCTTTTGCTTTTTTCCTGTCAGAGTCAGCTTGGGTTTGACCTATCATCCTACTAATACAGTTTTGTAAACAATGGAATGTAGGTCAAGTGCTTGGCATGACTTTAAAAAGCACTATTTTAAATGTCAACAATTATTTGCTGGCTTTGCCATAGGAATTGCATAATAACAAAATAAGGTCAGTGATTGTCTTGCCTAGGGCGAGTAGGGGATGAAAAGTTGACATAATATAAAAGCACGGGGACTGTCCTTCCCAGAACCAGAGGGAAGGTATATTCTGGTACATTCTTTCTCTCCTAACAGTTCTCTTATCTCCTTTACTGGACGACTTCCTTGTCTATGGAAGCATGGTGGCCTAATCAGGTGTGCTCCCTTTTCTACTGAAAGCTATGCCTTGTGTTTTACAGGCCTATTCTAACTTGCTGAGAGCCAATATGGATGGGCTAAAGAAGAGAGACAAGAAGAGCAAAAACAAGAAGAGCAAAGCAACACAGTGAGGGACACTTGGATTCCTGTTTTATTTCACCTTTAAACAGAACTCTGAAGACGCTTGGCTGGTGGTACTGGCTTCTCTTAGCGCTGAATGGCTTCATGTGTAGGGGAGGGGGGCATTACTTTAGTGGCAGATCATCATTCAGTTAATTTCAGGCTTAATGTTTACAGGGGCAGCTGTGATTAAAAAAGAAAAAAAGGCTTGCCCAAGTTGTATATATATATATGTATATAGCATCCACCCAGCCTCACTCCCTCTACACTTTGTAGGATACCTGACCTATGGTTTGTTGAAGTCACTTTAGAGAGCTTTGTGAACATAGCAATGTATTATTAAATCTCTTGATATACCTTTCTTGATTCCCTTTACCTGTTTTTTTTTTTTTAATCACCTTTGGTTTTGCATTATTAACCCAACTGTGTGAGGAATGAGAAAGCTTTTAGCATGTCCTCAGGGCTGATGGTGACAGAAGCTGGCAGTTCTTTGAATAGAATGTGTAGTGTTAGGGTTGCTTTTTAATACTTCTGAGGTGTTTAAGAAGTTTTTAAGTCTTGTTAATGAACGATTTAAATTAATTTAACACAATTCACTGAAAAAGTGACTATATGGTAGTTCATTTTCCAAATCCAAGAAGTACAGCTTTTAAGGTACAACTAATATCTTCAATTTAAAAATTTTCCTTGATATTAGCATTCTTTGTTTCCACTGAATATACTCAGTTCAATAGAATCTTTGAAATCCAGACCTTCAGTTGTTATACTGCCCATGTCCCCAGAAAGCAAGCTTAGAATGACAAGAAGTTAAGCTAGTTATATCTTCGGATGCTTCATTCCTCTTTTGTTAAGTATAAAAACCATATCCCAAACTCATGGCAGCTAGGTGGCCCAGTGGATAGAGTGCTGGGCCTGGAGTCAGGAAGACTTATCTTCATGAGTGCAAATCTGGCCTCAGACACTTACTTGGCTGTGTGACCTTGGGCAAGTCACTTAACCCTGTTTGCCTCAGTTTTCTCATCTGTAAAATGAGTTGGAGAAGGAAATGGCAAACCACTCTAGTATCTTTGCCAAGAAAACCCCAAATGGGGTCATGAAGAGTTGGGCATGACTGAAACAAATGAACAACAACCCAAACTCAGCAAAGCATATAGTAGAAAGAATACTGTACTTAACACACTTGGATACTTACACAAGTCAGTTAATTTCCAAGGTGCAATTTCTTCATCTATAAAGTGGAGATAAAGATAGCACCTCTTTCACATGGTTGTATTCAGTCTGAGAATAGGTGAATTGATTAGATACTATAACCTATAACCTAAAGGTTATTTCACACATCCAATCTCCAGGGATATAGGAAGAGCTAATGTGCTTTGATTTGTATGTAGATATCCTTTTTCCCCATCCCCCCTGCAAGCACAGCAGGCAGATTTATCAAAAACATTTATTAAAGTCAAAAAGTTTAGCAGCCTTCTAATATATACACTGTAAAATATTCAGTTTAAGATTTATCCAAAATTACAATGACTGTACAGCATTCTATATTACAGCATAAGCTTCTGTCTGGTTTGAACACTACTATGTACAATTCACATGTCCCATGCAATGAATTCTTCATACTTAAAACAAGATTCTGTAATAGTCATCTCTGTAACTATACAGGAATAGCATCGACACTCTGCAGAAGAAAGAAAGTCATTAATTAGAGGTGGCCATAGATAAAAACAATGGTTCAAGAAATGAAGAAGGAAAGCCTTTAGGTTCTATTTGGGAAAATAAATTTATCTGTAAGAGTGCTTTTCCAACAAAAATATGGAAAGTTAGCTGCTCACTAAATTTTTTTGGCAAGTGAAATGTCATCATTTGTTTCACACATTTCATTTCTGCCTTTAAAGGTAGTGGGGTGAGAAGGTAATATTTCTCTATTGGGACTTTAAAGCAAAGGTCAATTAGTCTCATTTTCTAAAAATGAAGCAGCAGAGCTCATAGCTATTTCCTTCTAATTTAAACACTAGAATTCTATAAATGGGTCACCTGGGGGAATAAATTTATAATGGGGACAGTTAATCCTTGCCCTTTTATGCTTTGAAGGTCGTGGCTGAAGATGAGACCTGATAGATGGCCTTAGGCAGGCTCCACTGGCTGCCAGCTGCCGAACTCATCAGTAGACTTATTCCTCATCATCCTGACAGGATAATGAGGTGCTGCTAGAGAGGGATCTGAAGCTTCAGGGAAGATAAACTACCATGGGATGGTTTTAATAGCTTACCTGCTTGAATTCTGACATGTGTGAAACCTGTTGCTGCTAACCAGATAACTTACTTTTTTTCAATTTTGATGTTGTAAATTTCATCACAGACTAATTTGAGGTATCTCTGCTTTGGCAGGCGTGACAGTAGCTGCTTCACAGTTGTATTAAAGGCCTGTTCATCACCATCCCACTAGGGGAAAACAAAGATAAGACTTTTTAAACAGCAGGGTACACTTAGATTTTTTTTTTTTTAAACCGGAGAAGTTTATGGCTCTTCCCAGGCATCACTAATGGGATTTACTAGTACTCTTCCAAAGACCAAAGTACCTACAGAGAAGCCATACAGAGGTAAGTATTAAAATCTATAAGAGGGTTGCTCTAACTCTTCGAAGGATGACTCCATTTACTTTTAGAATTAAAATGCTATACACCACTTCATTAACATCATAGGCCCTTTGGTGTCATCCAGTTCATTCCTACTTTGGGAAAGTATACCAGCTATCACTGTACTACCGTGATGATCTTGGGTAAATTATTTTCTGCTCCTCTTTGCCTATGTGTGACAGATGCCACTTTCATAATACATCAGTGGCAAATGAAAGGTCCAGTTACCAGTATAGAACCAGTAAGATGGTACTAGAAGCAAGCACATGGATCCATTTTCAGTTTCCAGGACAAACACAGATAAATGACATCTCTGGTATCAAATATTTTGGGCAGGTGAAACAAAGCTGTGATTTTGAAGTAGTCATTTATTCTATTATAATATATTAACTATAGCTGGGGCTATATGTGATTAAGGGGCTCTATTGGCTATTCAAACATATGTTCAAAAGAAAATAGATACATGTAAGATTCCAAAGTTAAAATGGGGAAGGGAAGATACATGTGACTGATACTAGGGATTCTAGCACCTGGAGCAAACTCATTTCAGGGTGGGGAGATGGCAAGGGGAAAGAGAAAGAGTCCTCAAGGCCACTGCTGGGAAGGATGCCATGCACCACTGTTCCCAGGAGTCTCATACTAGTTATGGTTGTTTATGTTCTAAAACAATTGACATTCTCATTAATCTTCAGTTGGCAGTGGCTCTTAGCACTCTGCTCCTTCCTATTAGGAGGCAAAAAATGTTTGAAATTATTCCATTAATATATAACAATTGACATTCTCATTAATCTTCAATTGGTAGTGGCTCTTAGCACTCTGCTCCTTCCTATTAAGGGGAGAAAAATGTTTGAAATTATTCCATTAATACATAATTTAGGAACAAATCTCTTCTGTAAAAGGAAGGTTAACCAATAATCTCTACAAATTCCCAAGTTTAGAAAATTAACATCACTAAGGAAAACTCATTTCAATTTGGTCCATTAATGGCAAAAACTATTCAAACTTTTGGAATTTAAAGTTTGGCTCTTTCTAAGCCAATACTTAGTTATGGCAGAATCTCTGTAGCTTACCTCTAATGACAAAAACTGCAAAATTGTTTCTTTTGGCAGGTCTACCTGTGAAAATGGAAATACATAATAAAAGTTTGCATAAGGGGATTTGATGGGACAATTTTGGTCAGCTTAAATGATTATTTGTATTACACACTATTACCAAAGACTGAACTTGGAAATCATTGTTCAAGTCTGTGGGATGCTGTTATGTTTGGAAATGAAATAAATGTCAACGGTATGAGGATGAGACTTCAGCTCTGGGGCCCCACAAAGTCGTAATTCTAGCTCCTCACCACCTCCCTGCCCAAAAGGGGAACTGATTCTAATACGTGTACATATGTAGATTTAAGATTTAAAGGCCCACTTAGAAAATTACACAAACAAAATGGAGATTTTTGGAGGATATTATAATTTTTTCCCCCATTTTTTGAGTTGGGCTGGAGAAGGGAGGAGAGGAAGAAACCTTTTTCTTTTGATATTTCCACCCAAGCCTTCACATTTTCTGTATAGTTTCATGCTCTAATTTTGCATAAGGTTAACCTTAGTGAAAATTGTGTAAGAATACAAAATATTTATATTGAGCTAAAAGCTAAGCTCTGAGAATTTTGCTCTTACAACAATATCAAAGGAAAGGACTTACAGCCAAAATTTCAATTTCGCTGCTCTTATGGTGGAGGTTGGCAAGGGCAGTCTGGAGTCTTGTTTGCACCTGTAAGAAGAGATTACTGAATTCAGAACATGTAGAAGCAAGACATCTTCCTGTTGTTTGTCTGCAAACCAAACATTATAGTAGGGGTTCTTAAATCTGGAGTCTATTTTTTCCTCAATTACATGGAAACAAAAAAATTTTAAGTTTTTTTTTTTTTAGTTCCAAATTCTTTCCCTCCCTTCCTCTCTCCCTGAGAAGGCAAGCAATTTGATAGAGATAATACCTGTGTAGTCATTACTCATGTTACAAAAGAAAATGCAGACCAAAAAATCCAGAATGATTGTTAAAATAGTATGCTTCAATCTGCATTCAGACTACATCAGTTCCTTTTCTGGAGGTGGCTAGCATTTTTCACTGTAAGCCCTTTGGGATTGTTTTGTATCATTGTATTGCTGAAAATAGTTGGGCACATAATTGTGCAAATAGTTCCTAATAATTGCTTTAATTTCATCTTCATTAAGGGTGAATTCACCCTTTTCATTTTGATACTGGTAATTTGGTTTTCTTTTTTAATCAAATTAATCAATGGTTTGTTTTACTGATTTTTTTTTTCTTAAAACCAGCTTAGTTTTATTTATTAATTCAGTGGTTTTCTTTAAAATTATTAATCTCTCTCTTGGTTTCAGGATTTCCAATTTGGTATTTAATTGGGGATTTTTAATCTGTTCTTTTTCTAGTTTTTTTTTTTTTTTTAAGCTGCATGCCCAATTCACTGATCTGCTCTTCCTCTATTTTATTGATGTAATCATTTAGAGATACAAATTTTCCCCTAAGTACTGTTTTGGCTGCATCCCATTAATTCTGGCATGTTGTCTCTTTGTTTTCATTCTCTTTAATGAAATTACTTATTGTTTCTATGATTTGCTCTTCGACCCAGCTCAGATCTTTTCATCAGGAATGCTTGAAAGTCTTCTATTTTATTAATATCCATTTTTTCCCTTGACGAATTATACTCAGTTTTGCCGGATAG